CGGAGCATCATCACCATCACCATCGCCCCGCCCGGAGCATCCCCCGCCGCCGCGCTCCCCGCGCCGCCGGCAGAACGGCTGAAACCGAGGGCAAGAAGCCCCCCAAGCCCCCGACAGCCGTTTCCCGCAGGTTTCCCCCCGCTCGTCCCCGCTTTGCCGGGTGTTTTTGGGGGGTCCCGCCCGGGGTCCCCCCGCCGGCCGTGCCCAGCGCGCCCCCTGCGGGCCGCGGGGAGCCGCGCACCGGCCCGCGCGTGTCCCCCTCCCGCGGCCCCTCCGGCCCCCGCAACCGCTCCATTCCCTCCCCTGGACCTGCATTTCCCCCCTCACCGGCTGTGCAGCGAGGCCATGGCTGCGGGAGGTGGGATTTGGGATTCTAGGGGGAGGATGTGGTCGCCCGGTGGGACTCTGTCTCCATGCAAAAGTGCCCGATAGGGATGTAAAACGTGTCATTCTTCCCGCTCCGGGCACCGCACAAAAGATGAAAGAGGCACCAAAATTTAGATTGTGCTGGTTCAAGCTCGGCCAGGATGGGTTTTTCCCCTAAATCCCCTTCAATTCCCACCCCCTGCTCCAGCCACCAAAACAAACCATAAAGTCAAAGAGCCACTATAGCCACGAGGTGCCAGGTCTGACAGGGTCTCAGGCATTCCCACGGCAGGGCACCAAACACTGGGAACACGGGGTGGGCTTGGCAGTGCAGTTGCCCATCCATGTACAACTGAAATGGTGAGGGATGATGTGGAAGCAGCAGGTGGAAGCTGGAGGAGGGAGGAATTTCTTTTTCCTCCCCATTTCCACACTCCACAGGCAGCAGCTCTGGGAGCCAGGGATGCTGCCTGCATCCCATCCACAAGCCACGATAGCACTAGGTGCTGCTGCACAGTCCAGCCAAACATGCAAAATGAGGTATTTATATATATATAAAAAAACCCCAAACGAGTGTAATTAAGCAGTGGAAGGATTTGGTGAGTGCTGTGGCAGAGCTGCTGGGACGAGCACAGCTGTTCTTCCAAGGGAAACACAGGTGCACATGCTTTGGTTCAGCAGGAATTAATCTGGGGAGGCCGAGGGTCTGGGAAAAACAAATCCTCGCTCCTCCTGGTGCCTTTGGCTGAGTCGCTGTGGGAAATGAAAGCCCAAACTCCTGCCACTGGGTTTTCCAACCCTTTCGTGTGCCAGCCTGGGGACAGTGATAGGTATGGTGGGTATGGCAGGTGTTGGTGCATTCTATGGAGTGTTGGAAGCCAGGAGATACAGGGAGCTGTGTCACTCCCTCCAGTGTGGAATAACCAGCACTTTCTTCGTGCCTTCTACATAAAAATATAGATTTTTTTGGTCTATTTTAAGGTCTATATTAATACCCCTGGATATTGCATCCTGCTAAGGGCTTCCATGCTGCACCTCTGTTGCCAGTGCTGCTTATGTGAGGTTTATCCAAGGGGATTTGATGCCCATGTGGGCTGATGGGAGTGACCTGCTTGCCTTTGCACACCTGAGCAGCCCCCTTGCTTTGCAGAGATCCTCTATAATGAGCATTATTCATATCTGCAGCTGGCTCCCAACAGCTACTAATCATTTTATTACTCTTTATAATCTATTTAAAGCACAATTAGAGAAAAAAATCTATACAAAGTTACAGGTGAAAGCACATTTTAGTTACATTATAAATCCCTGGCAAACAACCATCTATCACGGGAAGCGGCGCTCCCCGGCTCGGCTGACAGGAACGGAGGCTGCCCCGCTCCCTGCGGGGAAGGCAGGGCTGCACTTGGACGTGGATCTGCTCCTTCAGAGCACGGCTCCTTCGGGCTCCAGCAGCAGGTATTCCCGCAGAGCCTTGGGCACAGGCAGCAGAGGGATGAGGCTGTGGCACCTGCTGCCGAGGTTCTCCCGGATGGCGGAGCGGCACAAGTGCTGCAGGCACCGCACGGCGCCCGCCAGCTGGAACAGGGACTTGTAGAACGGCTGGTGCTGCTGCAAAGAGAGGGGGAACAGGGGCAGCACTTTAGTTTTTTCCTGATTACCAAGCAAGCTGGAGATATTCTAGGATGAAGACTGAAGGGAAGGAGGTAAGGAACCCATGTGTGCCTGGGCGTTAAGGGATCTATGCACTGACACAGCCCCGCAAGCAAGAGCTGGGTGAGGAATTCCCCTGTGGAAGCACGTGGAGAAAGCTGGCCTCGTGGGGAGGGTGCCCTCATGGTCACTGGCAGCATCATCCCGGCGGGAATGGATGAGAAGAGACCTTGCAGAAGAGACCCTGTTTCTCAGACGGGGAAACCATCATGGATGGTGCCAGAGTGGGCTGGCCAGACCTGTTGCTTGTCCAGGAACGAGCTTTTTCAAATCAAAATGAGTCTTGTGGGCTCCTGCTGGGCAGTACTCTGGCTCCAGGGTCACTTCCATATGCTGGGAGTGGATTTTATTGCAGGCTGGGCAGGGATGCAGGTTTTGATGTTGACGGAGCTAAAGGGATGTGAACCTGGATGAATCAGGTGTGCCATGGTGCTCTGGGGACTATTCCAATCTTTTTTTTCCCCATCCAAGTGAAGTTTGGATGGGGAAAAAAACCCCTCTCTGTGGGTAACCCCCCTCCTTGGGCCTCAGCCATCCCCGCCAAAGCCCAGCACTGTCTCACCTGGAACACCTCCTCTGGCACGGCCTCGGTCCACTCCTGGGAGACAGGGATTTGTGAGTAGGAATTGAAGAGGACTTCTATGACCTCTGGCACGGCCGCACAGGACCTCAGCACCTACCCATGGGCAAAGGGAGGGTCACACAGAGAGGCAGGTCCCAGAGGGGAGAACATTCACCATGTCAGGATGAGGTGGCATTTGGGTTTCTCCTGGCACATTTTGGAGATCTTTCCCCATTTGTGAAGTGGTGGGAAGACCTGCCTTGCTGAGGCACTTGTTCCTCTGGATGCAGCCCTTGTTTCTTGTTTGCATTTTTGGCTGGTGCGTGACAAGCCAGGATAATATTTTCTTTATTGTTTGATGTAAAATCGATGGAATGCAGAGCCATGAAGCGGCTGCACCGGCGGCTGATGTGCCAAGCCTGCCTCTGATATTCCCCAGGCAGGAAAACATCCTCCTTGCTGACCCCTGAGAGCCGTGCTGGCTCCACCCTGCCCTTTGTCCTGCCTGCTCCACCCGCTGCCACACCACGCCGAGGTTTCACTTCCATCATTCCCAGCAGCACCACCAGCCCCTGCGCCACTGCCCACTCCCCTGCCTGGACTGGGAGGCCCTCCCAAATCCTCCCACACCCCATCCTTTTATTTCCCAAAGCACCCTGACCCCAACAGGGGCCATTTTGGGGCCGGTACCTTGACGAAGGCAGGGGGCCATATCCTCTGGGAGCCGTGGTTGAGCAGCAGCTGGACGGTGAGGTGTGGCCGCCGCCGGGCCCTGGAGGCCGCGCTCTGCAGGGCGAGGCCCAGCGGGCTCAGGCCGTCGTAGTCGATGGCGTTGACGTCGGCCCCGCGCAGCAGCAGGAACCGCGCCAGGCCGGCGTGGGCCGCCCCGCACGCCTTGTGCAGGGGGCTCCTCCGTGCCTCGTCCCGCGCGTCCACCTGGGCGCCGTGGGCCACCAGCAGCCGGCACAGCTCCAGGCAATCCTGGCCGGCCCCGGGAGCCGTGGCGCAGAGGACGCCCAGGGCCGTCTCCCCCCGTGCGCTGCGCGCGTCCACGCGGGCCCCCCGCTGCAGGTAGAGCCGCGCGTGGTCGCTGAGGCCGTGCCGGGCGGCCACGTGCAGAGCCGTCTCCCCGCACGCCGTGCTCGGCAGGTCCACGGCGGCCCCGTGTCTCAGCAGCAGCCTGGCACACCTGCACGAAGGGGGGAGGCTGAGAGGGCACCGCCAGGGTGGGGTGGAGCGGGAACCATGAGGGGTGACGGGAGACGGCGTGGGGTGAGGGTAGAGGCCGTGCCAGAGCTGGCATTGTGGCACTCGAGGGTTTTGGGAGGGAGCAGCAGAGGCTGGGGAGGGTGACGCTGTGTCCCGGTGCCCTCCACAGTGGGGGCAACGGTGGTTTGGACAATGTGTCCCTCTTGCCCTTGACCAGCATCATTCATGAATGGTCATCCTTGACCACCTTGACTGTCCTTGACCACCTTGACCAGATTGACTATCCTTGACCACTTTGACCATCTTTGACCACCTTGACCATTCTTGACCACCTTGACCCCCCTGACCCACCAGGGTCCCACCCTCCTAGGCCCACTTGCTTGGGTATAAAAATGGATTCTCCTTCTCCCTTTAACGGACCCGAACACTTGTGTTGGGCTCCTGCCCCGGAGAGCACTGCAGGGTTGTGTTTCACAGAAACATAGACTATCCTGAGTTGGAAGGGACCCACAAGGATCATGGAGTTGAAGTCCTGGTCCTGGTTTTCTGCCTACCCTGAAAAGAAACACCTTTGCACATGGTTTAACTCTGCAGAAATGAGTTTTGGTGGCTTGTTTGGCACCCGGTGATGAAGGAGCAGCAGCACCTGCAGTTCCCAGGAGGACTAAATCAAGGCAAGCAATCCCCCCTCTAACATCACCGTGCCTGGGTGCAAAGAGGGGTCGTGGCTGCTGCAAAGTGGGGACACCAGTTCTCATCAGAGCCTTCTGCCTGCATCCTTCTGACAGTGGATGGGGGTTACAGACAGCTGGTATGCCCTGATGGGGGGTTATTTTATTTTTTTCGGTGTGTGTGTGAGTAAACGGATGTGATCGGGCAGTCTGAATGAATCAAAGTGACTGCTCCCTCTCCTGCCGGGAGCCGCCGGGGCCGGCGCGGCTCAATGTCACCGCCCGGGCAGGGCTGTCGGCAGCCGGGGTCACTCGCGCGGCGCTGAGCTCGTTGCTGTGGCACAAAGGGGGGGATTTTTGGAGGGGGTAGACGCACGTGCCAGCTAAGCTGGACCTTGAATACGTGCGAGCTCGTGTTTCCCGAGAGATGCTGCCAGGGAGGTGAGGAGAGCCATCCTTTGGGAAGCCTCAGCAGTGGCTGGCTGGAGTCTAGGGAGGAGCACAAGCCTTTAAACCCTCCCTGTCTCTTTAATTTTCCTCTAATAAGTTTTTCTTTTAGCCCAGGTGTCACCAGAGCCCTGAGTGAAGTTCTGGGCTGACACAGAAGCAAAAGGATGGGGAGTTGAGGGGGGAGGGAAGTCCCAGCTTGATACTTCCAGTAGCAGGGATGGGAAGGAAGAGGAGCCCCAGGGAGGAAGGACGGTGCCAGGATATTGTTTGTTTTTCCTGGCACAGATGAATGCTACCATATGTGGGGACAATGACAATAATAAAATAATGATAATGATAATGATAATAATAATAATAATAATAATAATAATAATAATAATAATAATAATACATTTGACTCTTTGTGGATCTGCAGCACCACCTCCCCCATGATTTGATGGGAACTGGTGAGACATCCACTGTCCTTGTCAGTGCAGGGTCTACAAATACCTCCTTGGGCTCCTTTTCTTGTGCTTATCAAGCCTGAGTTTGCCAGGAAAATAATTTCTGCAGGATCTGTGGGGCCAGGTTGCTCCTGCAGCCTGGGCAGGTGTAATGCTCCCAGATGTGCCAGCCCTCACTGGTCCTCACCAGAGGCATCCACTGTGGATGAGCTCTGCTGGGGATGTGGTTGTGGGTGAGCTGATCAAGGTGGGGTTGTGCCAGCCCCAAAATCACCAGATCCTTACTTTACAATTCCCTTTTTACTCTACAGGAGGCTGAATCCCTTTCTCAAGCAATGGCTTGTCTCACTGAGGGTTTTTTGGGGGCTTGCTGTCTGCTGCTGGTGGGTACAACTTTGTCAGTGGGGATCTGTTATTAGAGCAAATCACTCAGTCACTCCATCACATTTACTGGTCTTGTCCGTCCTTGTCAGCAGGGAATTTGTAGCCCTAATTATAATGATTCTCTTGGGACCTCTCCAGATTAGCTTAATCCTAATGTCACAGGTAGCTCTGGCACCCTAATAATGGCACCTAATAAAAATAATGTATTCAAGGGAAAAATAAGGGATAGTTCTGCAGGGAAAAATGGAAAAAAACTATATTTCTGACTTGGCTGCAAAAATGCAGCTGCCAGGTGCATGAGAAAAATCCCCTTTTGTTCTATGTTTTTTTTAATAGCTCACACTTAAAACACCCCTGCTCCTTCCCAGGTAAGGAGGTGGCTGTGCCCAGAGCATAAGCATCACCCTGGTTTTGGAGAGTGCCCAGGCTGAAGATTTCCGCCTGCATGAGTAAGACAGCGGAATGTTCTTCTGCCCTTATTTTCCAGGTGAAGGGTGGTACAGCATGGACTGGCAAAGCCAGGAGCTGTATCCAGCCCCTCCAGCCCAGCATTCTCCCTGTGCCGTGGGGTCTTCCCTTGCAGAGAATTCAATACAGGGAGATTGATTCCTCTTGACCTCCTGCTAGACATCCCAAATGTTCTTCTGTGGAAATGCCATCCTTTCCAGGTGCTGCTTAACTGAGGGGTTATTCTTTTTGGTTTTCAAGTTGGTTTGGTTTTCAAGTTCAAAGTCCAACTTTGAACCCAAGAAAGAAAGAAGAAACCCAAGTCAGTTTACATTTTGAATTTTTCCCCTGGATACTCCTCCCTAGGCAAAGAGGGAATGTTTGTAAGGAACTATAAATATGAGGTGATCTCTTCTGGTGGATGGAAAGGGTGCCTCCTGCTTGGATGTCAGGGCATGAGCAGGTTCTGGGTGGATGCTCTTTTTAACCTTTAAAATCTCTCTACAAGAATTCAGATGCTCTAACACTTCACCAGCATTTCTGACTTCTTCGGTTTTTTTGCCATCAGAGCAGACTAAAATCCCTTTAGATAAGGCCTAGTGATGTCTTGATGCTTTTTTAAGGGCTCCTCTCCAATTTTCTGGGAATACTGAAAGAATACAGTCTGGTTTTAGGTTTAGCTCAGCAGAAGTTCAGAGGCACAGTGGCAAAGCAAGCAAGCTTGTTTTCCATCCAGCCTGGTACCTAATTATGACTAACTTAAACTCACTTCCAAACCCTTCCCAACTCATTTGCAGGTGATGGGTAACAGATCTGAATGTCTCTTTCCTTGGGCAAGTCACTCGTGGTGACTGGCGTTGGTTTGCTTTGTGCTGAGCTCCTGGCTCAAATAAATGGGAGAAAATGATTTGGGTTTGATTTTCCTTCTCCACCCATCCATAGAGCTCCTGCCGGTAGCTCAGGTGGAGATGAAAAATACCCAGGCTGTGAAAGTGGGATTTAGCTTTAAATGGGATGCTACGAATGACCAGCAGGAGGAGCAGGAGGCTGGGGCAGCGGAGCCTGAAGGAAAATTCCTGTCCCAAAACCCCACTCAGATGCCCAGTTTTCTTAAGAAAAAGCCTCCAGTTTGTTTTTCCCCCTCTCCCTGGGGTCGGAGCAAGGCTCGTCTGTAAGAACCCTCGTGTGGTCACACCTGCAGGGAGCAGGATCAACCCTGCCCCTGCTTTTGGGCTCTTTATTTCTTGCTCAGGACCCAGGAAGGAGCTGGTTTTCCCCGGTGGGAGGATGATTTCCCAAAACAATGGCTCCAAATGCTCCGAGTTTTGTCTTTAGCAAGGCTGAACAGAGCAGAGGACGAGGTTTAGCTGTAGATGATGCTAAATGCTGATTTTTTAAATCTCTGTGGTTTTTTTTTATTTGTAGTAGTGCTTATTTCCTGCAGCCAGAAGGAACAGTGGGTCTAGGATGGTGCTGGGATAGCTGGAGAGTGCCATGGAGCTGGTCAACCCAGTCTGTACCCATCTCCCTGGTGTCTGGGAGCCTTATCTTGACCATGTTGCCTTTTTAGGTACCTGCTTTCCTGCTTGGCTCCCGTTTGCTGCCGGTTCCTCCCATGATGAGCTTCCCTCATCCAACACTCCCCCTAAGCAAACCCCACCCTGTCTCTGGCAGCTCTTGTGCTCACTCCCTACCCCATCAATCCTTGCATAGAGCCCCTTGGACTGGCCTCCTGCCTGGACTCATCCCACCATTTATGCCCCATCCCTCAGCGCTGGAGGCTCGGAGCAGGAAGATCACTCTGGTTTCAGCTCCCAGGGTGGAGTGAAAGCTTGAAGAAGTGAATGCTCAGCCCTAAGCCCGGGTTGCCTGGAGGTAGGGGTGACATCTTTTCCCATGCCTTGGCTTGACTGAGCCCTCTTCCCTCTGTGGAAGGCTGGATTTCTCTCCAGGTAGGCTCTCTCTGGTCTCACGGGAAACCTGGGATGTTCAGAAAGACTCCCAGATCTGAAAGAGGACCCCACAGACGTGGTGGTGTCTGGCATCCCTTCCTCAGTGGGCACCGTGATGGGAGGTGGGAGTCACATCCTGCATCCCTGCCACGTGCTTTCCCACCACCCCACGCCTGCTCTTCCCTCCCTGGCACCGCCGAGACTCTTCCTCTCCCCCTCAATTATTTTTATTTTATTTTTTTTCGGGGTGCCAATAAAGGCAGACTCCTTTAATCATCCCAGCTTTAAGAGGGAAAAGGGAGAGCGCCGGGGAGAGAGTGCAGTGAATTTAGAGACTCATCTTACCCCACCATGTTAATTATCTCGGCTGTAAAAAAGAGGTCAAGGAGAGGAACTCTACTAAATAGGCCGACGTTGGCATGAACAGCTCCTAAAGTGAAGAAGGTAAGACTGAACTTTACTGGAACTTTTTTTTCCATCTCTTCAAAAAGCTCCTAGATTAAAGCTCTGATATCCTTTTTGTTGAAATCTCATGGATTCTGAAGCTCAAATGGCTGGAAGGAAGCCCAGATAATTTTTTTTATCCCAGTCACTGAGAGGCTCAAAGGTTTTAAGTCCTGCCCCCATGGTGAATTGCCGAGTATATGGGAATACAGAAGAACCTGGCACATAGGTGTTCTGGCCATTGTTATCGAGAGGGAGAAAAATAAAATAGCTCTCTATGTAGGTCAATGACCTGCTCTTTATTGCCAGTAAAAAATTAAGGATGACCTAAAATCTACTACTCAACGAAAAAAATAATAAAATAAAAAAAAAGAAGGCGAGGTAAAGTAGTCTCCCCCTAATCAAAGAGGAAATGTTTGTGTTACCTAAAGCTTGACCTCCTCAGTCTCTAACTTTAGCAAAGTCTTTGCGACTGAAAAGCAGTGGTCGAAACCTCAAAACCTGTCTGAAATGTCTATTAATTTTTGATCTTTCAAGGGAGTTGGCTTAGTTATTGCAGAAGCCCCTGTAGCGCCGGGCGTAGTTAAGGGTCTCTCAGCATTTCCATTATAAAGCCCCAATATTCAAGGGCTTTATAACTCAGCTGTTTCCACGTTGGCTCTGTCTGATCCCCGTGTTGCCATGTGCTGCCTCACCTGCCATCCCCCCCCAGCTTCCAGGGGAACAGAACATGCAAATTGGTGGTTCATTTTTTATAGAGGTACAGATTTTTTTTTTTCCAAGGTTGGAATCAGCTGGCCAAAACCAGGACAACTGGACCTCTGTGGGCTCTGGGGTCCTCTCCACACACCAGTTGGTTTGGTTGCCCCATCCCTTCAGGGGGAGAGCAGACTGGTGAAGCCTAAAATCATGGAATCACAGGGAATTTATGATGGCTTGGAGTCTGGAGGCTGAAACTTTAAGGTCTAAAGGGAGCTCAGGTGAAGGAATTAAAGCCAGCTCCTCATTAACAATGAGGGCTTCTTGTAGCATCCTCCCTTATCTATCCTGCTCCTTCCAACCCTCATCACACCAAGGATGTGTTTGATTCACCCCTGAATTTTTGGCTGAATCAAAACTTGATTAGTACTTGATTTTTGGCCATCTTACAGAGACTCTTATTTACAAGATGGGATCAAGATATTTACATCTGCAAATCTGCAGATCTTTCCCTCTCTGTCTGCTTTCCTTCTTCAGAGTACTTTCCCTGTGACCTGGTCCGTGATGTGTTGGATCTGCAGTGGGAACTTTGCTTTCACCATCTGTTGCCTGAAGGATTGAAGGAAGAGGACTGAAGCCAGGATGGCTTTCCATGAAAGCTGACAGGTGATGGAATTCACCATGGCCCTAAGCAGTTCCATCAGGACATCAAGCTCTTTATAAAAAAGACCGAGCTCTTTATAAAAAAAAAAAAAAAGGAAAAGCACAGGAGGTTGGGATGATGTGTGCCCCATGGCTGGAACCATCCTGAGCATCTCCTGGGGAGAGTGTGCTGGACCTGGGATGTGGAACATACTGATTGCAGGACAAATAGGACAGAGGAGGGAGAAAAGGCACGTGAGGCTGGGTTGCTCCTGTCCGTGGGAAGGAGACTTGGGCTGTACAACAAGGCCGGCACTAAAATGTCCTTTTTTTGCCTCTGCTGATGCAGCTGGAACATGTGGGAGCATGTGGGAAGCCTTGACATGGATCACGGCATCTTTCTTTCACCCCATGGGCAACACCACTGGGGTGTGTGAATGGAGTCCCAGAATGGTTTTGGGTTGGAAGGGACCTTAAAGCCCATCCAGTCCCACCCCCCACCATGGGCAGGGACACCTTCCACCAGCCCAGGTTGCTCCAAGCCCCGTCAAACTCAGCCTTGAGGGTTTCCAGGCACGGCATCAGCGGGGGGTGCCGATGGGAGCCCTGCTCCTTACCCCAGGGAGTCGCGGGTGGTGCAGAGGTGCAGCGGGGCCAGCCCCTCCTCGCTCCGCAGGTTGGGGTCCGCCCGGTACTCCAGCAGCAGCTCCACGCAGTCGGTGTGTGCCCCCCGGCAGGCCTCGTGCAGGGGTCCCTGGGCGCCCGGGGCCAGGTCGGGGTGGGCGCGGCGGCGGAGCAGGTGTCGCAGGGCGGCGGGGTGGCCGTGGTGGGCGGCCAGGCACAGCGGGGTGCTCCGCTCCCAGCGCTGCTCCAGCGCCCACAGCCCTGCGGGGGCACCGACCAGGGTCACCGCGGGCTGCCACCCCCTGCCCGCCAGCCCTGGGGCCGGGCCAGCTCCACACCCCGCTCTGCCCGCTGTTCCCTCTGCTCCCGGGCAGCTTTGGGCGCTCCAGAGGGCCTCGCTACACCGGGGGGCTGCTAGGATCGAGGGGAAGCAAAATTCCCTGGGTGTGTGCACGTCCAGGAGCAGGATTTCATAGGGCACGGGCTGGGTAAGCCAACACCCTGGCTGCAACCAGCTGCCTGAGACACTCTGTGTGCCTAAAAGGCAGCTCACCGATTCCTCAGGGAGAGAAAAGCTGTCTTTGCTGGGAATGAAGGTACCCAAGCCAGGTGGGAGCATGTTGGGAGGGTGATGCAGGGCTGGGCATGGGATGTGTTGGGTTTGGGCACAGCTAGAGTGAGGTGTTGCATTTCCCATCAGCTCCAGGACCTCTGGGACCATCAGTAATCTACTGAGCATGGTGCTCTGGGAGCACCTGGGACTTTGAGCAGCATCTCAGCGGGGAAGGCACCAGGTACCACTAACCTGGGAACATCTTATTCCTCCCTCACAGGACCAGGCTGCTCTTCCTGAGCCCCTCCATGAGGAATTTGGGCTGTGACCCCTCTTGCAAACATTCCTAAGCCACAGAGTGTCTAATCCCAACCTGAAAAAATTGTGTGGATGCACAGATTTTACACTTCCCTGCCCCTCTGGTGGGTTAGTATATGCAGAAGAGAAGGAAATATTAAAAATGATGAACATTTACGGTTAAAATTGCAGGCACAGCCAGCTAACCAGAAACCAGACACCTCAGGAACACTTAAGGCACTTAAATGTGCTGCAGCTCTTCTATTTAGGGTTAGTAAATACCCATTTTAAAGTTTTTTCTGGCCTGGCCTTTAAAGGAAAAGTACCTGAGACTCCATAAGACGCTTGGCTTTTCACCTGCCACTCCAGCTCATTTTTACTGATCTCAAAAACCAGGTTGACATCTTGATGGTATCGGTCAGTCAGGACCTCGAGGCTTCTCAGGTCTCCCGTGACCAGGGCTGTGTAAAACCTGGTGACAGGAACATGAGCTGTTAAAGGATGCTCCGAATCCAACTGGGAGGAAATCCGCAGCTTTCCTATTGCGGGTCCTGGTGAGTCGCCCATTCCAGTGTTTCCCGTGTGTGCAGGTCCTGGCTGGGAGGATAGACAGGCTTATATAGTTCATTGTTTCCGTCCTCCCGGGCTCATTGTCTAATTATAATCCAGTTAAGGCTCTATTGTGTCATATTTATAACTCCAGCAGGGTGGGATGCTGATGGGTAGGGGGTACAATGAGGGTCAGACGGTCACCAGGCCCTGCTGCAGCAGCACCTCTTGGATTAAATTGCTGGTTTATTCGCAGGATGCGGGAAAACGGTGCCTGGTGTCTAGGGAAGTAAAAAAACAGACAAAGAAATTGAGTCAATTGCTGTCTGCCCCTCCCCATATAACCTTATTTGTGTCCTCTGACCTCTGGGAAGTGTTTTTTTTCTCTGCCTAATTTTTCTTTAAGGTGCTCGTATGCTTTTCCAGTCTTGGGGTTGCTATATAGAAAAATCTGAGCAACGTGTTACTGGCCCAGCCTGGAATTCTGGGGCATCATTGCAGGGATGTAAAGACCAGCAAGGTACAAATCCTCCTGGGGCTTTGTTAGGGGAAGCTGCTCTCCCAGACAGTGCCTTGTATAGGAGAGGGAAAGCACCCAGACTCTCCTGCCATTTGATGCCAGCAGAGCATTCCCAGCTCCTGCTGCCCTGCAGCTTGTGGCTCCTTCCCTCAAGGTCACGGGAGAAATCCATGGTGGGGACGAGAATAGAGCTTGGCATCTCGTGACTTGGAGGCTCTGGATGACACAACCTCCCCTTCCCAGCCTTCCCACCCACCTCTCTGCAGAGTAAACCTGGTCCAAGCAGATTTTGGGAGACATTAAACCAGAGGTGGAGGGACTGATGGAATGCTGCGTGGTTCCCTCCATATGGAGTCAGCCTGAGGCTGGAAGAAATGTTTGGGACCTTGCTGGTGATCCTGAGCATCTCTGTGCCAACCCCAGGCCAGCATACCCGTGCTGCCAGAACCACCTGAGGTTTCTCTCGGGGTTTCCCTGGCATGGCTGTGGTGATATCCATCTCCAGCTCTGGAGACTGTGGGAAGAGCGTGGAGCCACAAAACCCCCACAGTGTGTTCATCCAGGACGGGGTTGTGCTGAGCCAGAGGGGTCTGACGGGGGTTGGTGAAGAACCCCCTGCCTTGAGGTCCCTATTCACAGGAAGCAGCATTGGGAGCTAATTTGAGATCAGTCTAAGTGGTCTTCCCTATTTTTTCCTCTCCCCCTTGACCTCAAGGCTGGCATTCCCACCTGGCTGTCCACAACAGCTCAGTCGGTTTGTAGCCTTCCAACTCCCTCATTTCTCTCTCTGCCTGTAACACTTGTTCTATTCTGCTACACCCAGCCTTTCTGTGCCCATTCCCCCTTCTGGTATCAGCTAAGCCGCCTCCTCGAGTCATTGCTCTGGTATGAAAGACATCCTCCGGGATGTTTTATCCCCCGGGGTCCTTCAGCTGGCGTGGGAGGTTTGGAGACCCAGGGAGCGGCACAGGCAGGGATCGTTTTCCTCAGGAACTTGTCCTGGGTTGTGTTTCCACAGCCCTGCCTTGCTTTTCCTCTCCTCTGACTAACAACCCTATAATATTTTCAAGGTGATGAAGAGGAATCTTGCCTTCATATGTCCTGTTTATGCCAAAGGATCACCCTCCCACGGCAGGGATCGCCTCCCTGGCTATATTTAGCAGGGAGCCCAGACCTTCTCGGTCAAACCCGGGCTAATTTTGCTAGGTAAGTGTGTATGTGTGTGTCTGGCATTAAACTGCCATTGAGAGTGTGCTGAAACACCCTGTGGCCCTTCTCACCAACCCTTTAATTAGCATCGATTTACACATATCACTCACATCCTGGGTCGGGGTAACGACAGGATTAACAGCGTTGCTGAGGGAGGGGGTTAAAAATAGTCCGGGCCAGCAAGAGTAGAGAGAAAAAGTCCCCTTGGAGCTGAGTGGCACATAAACCCTCACGAGCCCGGGCTCCTGCCAGCTGAGCCAAGTGCTGTTTCCACCCAGGAGTGGAGAGTGATGTCAGGATGAAGCAATATTGCTGTGGATTTAAGGGGAATATGTCTGCACAGGCAGCTGTGATTTACTGCAGAGAGGAGATGGCACCCAGGACACCTGTGGGGCATCCTGGGGCTGGCCAGGAGTTGGGGGAGAAGGTCCCTGGTGGGGTTTAGAAGAAAAATGGAGGGGTTTCAACTGCTTATAAACTACCTGTTGCCTTTAGGCAGCGATTTTGGGTGGTGGAGAAAGGCTGGAAGCCCTCAAGCCTTTCCCCTGCCACTGGTGAGCTGCACAGCCCTGGGCACATCACCTGGGCTCGCAGCATTCCTGAGGGTCAAAGGATATTAAATGTTTAATATTTAAACATTTCCCTGCAACAAATTAAGCCTGGGATCATCCTGCTGTGTCCTTCCTTCAGAAGGGATGCTCCTGCACAGCCCAGAGCCCCAGATATGGGTGAGGATGAGCACTTTGTTAGTGGTGGCCTTGCACTCATTAATCTCTAATGCGGGGGGAGCATCTGAACCTTCTCCCTGCATTCCACTGTTTGCAGAGCACACCTCATTTAACAAAACATTAAGCATTTCCCTTCCTCAGATCAAGTGTATCTATTAATAATGACTTAAATTGTCTGCGCTGGCTTCACATTACAAGGAAAGCTCATTCCTGGCACATGCAAGAGCACGATACACAGCAGCAAAACGGCTTCAGCACCAGCTTGTTCCCCAGGCTCAGCTGCCACTGCACTTAGTCCTTGCTCCAGGAAGATCTCAGCCTGTAGTAACTGACCCTGCTGGTTCCAAAAACCCACGAGGCTGCCTTAAACCACGCGGTGAGTGCAGGTGTGCCGGTGGGCACAGCTCCTGGCATCACTGCCTCCATTTACAGCTGCCCTCTGGCAGTGGGGAATGGCATCAGTATGATTTTTCCAGGGAAATTTCCAGCGTGGTGCAGGAGCCTGAGGCTGGCAGCCTGTGGCACTGCCTCCTCAGCCTAAAGCTTGTACCCCTTCTTAATAACCCCCTGCCCCCCATAATTCAGATGGGGTCCTTGCAATGGCTGTGTCCCCCTGGCACCCTGCGGCTGTGGGACTGAGAGGTGTCCAGGCAGGTGGCAATGCCACCACGCCACAAGATGAGCCATCACTGCCCAAGCCTACCTGGGAGGGGTGTGAGGGTGCCTCTCCTGGGTGATGCTCGCTCATCCTCCCTGGGTCACCATCCCTGTCTGGGTGTGAGGTCCACTTTCCTCTCTCTGAGCCAGGTGCCACCTTGCAAACAGCCAACCTGCCCCTGACTCGTCCCCACCTTTATATTTCCAGCTCCATGTGACAGCACTGCCCAGTTATGTGGCTGGGTCAGGCCATGGGATGAAGGACTGCCAGGACACACGTCCCTGTGCCTGGGGAGAGGGGAGTCATACTTTGTACCTCCCCTAAAAATACTTCTGCAGGTGCAGCTGCATGAGCAGAGATGTCTGGGCTGCTGCTGCTCAGCTCTTCTCTGAAAACTGCTGCCCGGTGAAATATAAACTTGTCCCGAGGCTGCATTGATTTTGTCCAGTTTTTATTGGAAATTAGATAATATTTAAACATTTCCCTTTAACAGCTCTATATAATATGGAAAAGGTCTGTGCTACGCTAGTTTATAGTGGCCCTTCTTTGTCAGATGTAAATAATTCAATGAAAAAAGCCCCAAAATTCTTTCCAGTTCTCATAACTGTGCACAATTTTCCTCCTCCTCCTTTCCCATCAATTATAGGAATAAAAAAAAAATAGCCCTTAGCTTCACTAAAAATACAAGGCTTCCCTTCTCCCCACCTCCCTGCTGAAGAGCTGCAGCTGTGTCAATTATCCCCTGGGAATTCAATCCTGGGGCACATCCTCTTCTAAAGCAAAGGGGAGCCCTCCCAATTATTTAACCGCTGAGTTATGTGCTCATGGAATGTCACCCTATGTGCCAGCCTGGAAAACCAGTTCAGACTGACCCTCCATCATGTGCCTCCCTTAAATTGCGAGACCAGGGGATGGCATTTGCTAATTAGCAGCTCAAAGCAGGGAGACAGGGTTATTTTTAGCACTCACCCGTAAGGTGGCTGTTTCGGGGGCTGGAAAAGTTGTGGGGTTTGTTTTCCCTTTATCCTAAAATATTCGAGCCCCTTTGGCAAAAGAAGGTACTGTGCTGCAAAAGGCTCTGGGTGACTGGCATGACTGGGTGCAGACATGAAGATTTCATAGAATCCTGGAATAGTTTGGGTTGGAAGCCCATCCAGTCCCACCCCCTGCCATGGGCAGGGACACCTTCCACTATCCCAGGTTGCTCCCAGCCCTGTCCAACCTGGCCTTGGACACTTCCAGGGATGGGGCAGCCACAGCTTCTCTGGGCAACCTGTGCCAGGGCCTCAGCACCCCAAAAAGTGCTAGCAGGACTGTGTGGGTGTTTCTGTTGGTGAACTGAGACAGGGGATGGTTCAGCATCCCTGCTGTGGGTTTGCTCTTCCTTTAGCCAGTGCTGCAGTCGATGCTCTCCCACAGCTGCTGCTGCAGGGGGTGACTCCCACCTTGCCAGGTGACCTGTGGGTCCCACCACGGCATCCCATGGGGGACTGTGGTCCTGGGGAAGAGGAAAGTGATTGCAGAGGAGGAAAGTGGAGGGGGAAGGTGGAAAGGAGTAGAGACTCCCTGCAGGGTCCATAACACAGGATTCCCTCCTGGGATGGGAGACACCAAGGGTGTGACGTGCCACGCGTCACCACCACCACTCTCAGGCCGTTCAGCTAAAAAGGATCTTCTAAATGATTACAGGGTGAGGAGACAGCACTGGGCACCTCAGGACTCAGACCCCACTCCTTTTCCCCATATTGATTGAAACTGAAGCAGATTCCTCCCATTCCCTGGCTGGAATTCCACTAGGACCAGCACTGTGAGCGCAGTGGGAGGTAGAAGCAGAGGAACTGGATGGCACCACGGGCTTCAACAAGCCCTTCACTTGGTTTCTTGCCGTCCTGTGCTGTTTTAC